GGTGGATGCCAATGGTATGGAGTACCATTGGGGGGTCTCGGTGTACTGAGACGGCATTTTGTTTGGACCTGCCAGTTGACATGGAAGGGGGACTTGGACTCTGGAGGAGAGAGGGAAGCGACTGGTGTCGTCCCCTCGTTATTGGCCAGAGAGTTACCTTCCAGACTTCGTGGAAAAACAATAATAAAAATGACACTTCGGAAAATACAATAAAGAGAGTATTTCAGATGGATCCAACCTAGGGGGGAGGAGTCTGAAATTGGTGTTTATTGGAGTTGATGAGAAGTGAGCATATATTATTGTGTGCAAAGAGGATGTCTGCGTGCGTATAGAAGAGGAGGCATGCGCACCGAGCAAAAGCTGCTCGCAGGACATTCTGTTTGCGCCCGATCACGTTGAAGCATCATCAGTGCTGGAGCACAGGGACTGCTAAACGTACGAGTGGACAACACTGCCAGCTACTACCTGTTAAGACGTTCTGTTCCGGGGAGCTAGTGTTGTCGTGGATATATGTATGTGTATAGCAATTACCATATACGTTCAAGTATTAGATAGATGTTGACTTGTGGTTAATATGTGTGGTATATTTTCACTTCGGGAATACCTTTCGTGTTAGCCCCCATGCCGTGCCCCCAGCCCCATCGTGACGCAAACCGATAGTGGCGCAAGCAAGCAGAAGCGGTCAATCCTTGTTGCTGTTCTACCCTTCATTGAGATGGACAGGGTACAACAAATACCCCTGAACCACGTTCGTTCCGTTCACCCCCCAAACAGGGGTCAACTCCTTGAAAAAAAATCTGACTTGACCACGACGAACTGTAGCGTGTGGCCGTCGGCCCGCGCGCACTCTCCTCCTATCAACCTTACTCTATCCAAGCCGGGACTTCGGCACAAGCCCCCCGCCCCCGTGCATCTTCACACACACTCACCTCCCCCTCCTTTTTGTTGAGCCACTTCTTGCACTTCTTCTTGATCTTCTTGATGCTGGCACCGGGCGTTTGGTCCGCCTCGTCGTAGATCGACTGGACCGCCAGCGTGTTCTGTTTCAAGGTCCGACATCCACGTGTGTTTTTTTTTTTTTTTGTTAGGGTTGTGGTTGTTTTGTTGTTAATGATGTTGCTTGTGTTGTTGATATGGTCGTTGATATTGCTGCCACAACGATGATCATCGTTTGCGCATGGTAGGGGTGTCGATTGTTCTGAGAGAGGCGACGATGCGGGAAGTCCGGGTGGGTCCTCAAGATACGCCATGTTTTGTGTTTCTTCAAATACGATCGACTGACCAGCAAAAATCAGTCAGCAACCCCCCGGCCAAACAACACCACACACACCAGAGCACGACTATAAACACGAGAAACAACGAGAGTCACCGACGGCCAGCCCACGGCCTCACTCACTCCGCTGTCGATAGCCTTCTTGAGCCGGACCTCCAGCGACATGTGCGCCAAGAGCGCTCCTCCTCCTCCCACCCCGCCGCCCCTCATCGCCGGACCCGCGGCCACCGCTGCCGCCGCCGCTGCCTCCGCCGCCGCCGCCCTCTCCTCCCGTTGTGCCTTCTCCGCGGCCCTCGCTTCGTTCGCCGCCTTTGCGTCTGCGACGGCCTTGGCCCGCTCCTGCCTCTTCGCCCGGTTTGCCTGTTGTAAGTCATCGTTTTCCTTGGCGGTCTTCTTGGCGGCCTCTTTGGCCTCCTTCTCGGCCTTGGCCTGTGCAGCCACCGCCGCCATCACTCTGAGAGGGGGAAAGACAAAGAAAAGCATGGTGAAAGAGGCGGCGCCCTTTGTGAGTGAAAGATTGTGGGCGGGTTGTGTAAATTGCATGTAATGACGACAACAAAAAGAGCAAGAAAAGAACACGGTGGAGGTGCCCTTTGTGAGTCAAGATGGTGGGTTGGGTTGGGTCAATGCGTGAATACATATGACAGGAGAGAAAAAAAAAAGTGGGTGTGTTATGTGAAATATTGGGGGATATCGTAGGTCTTCGAAAAATTTCTGAGGACCTTACGATTGAACATCGTGGGTGTTATATCAGTTCCTTCAATAAGGAATACAGAAAGCTGGAAGAGTGTGTGCGTTGTGTGAGATATTAGGGGATAGGCCTTCGGAAAAAAATCGACGACTGCTGTACGAGTGAAGATTGTGGGTTGTGTCAACTCGATCAATGAAGAGTACAGATACTTCCGGAACAGCGGGTGTGATGTGTGAGATATTGGGGGAATCTGTAGGCCGTCCGAAAATATTCGATGACTTCACGAGTCAAGTTGGCGGGTTGGGTGGTGTCAATTCGTTCAATGAAGCATACAGATAGTTGGAACAGCGGGCGTGTTGAGTGAAATACTGGGGGACAAGTCTTCGGAAACATTTCGATGAAGCGGTGGAGAGCCAGAGGAGAGAAGACGACGAAAAGGAAGGGTGGTGTCTGTGCTTGACTGCCTTACCTTACGTCACCTTACGTTTGCGTCAGAGGATATGCTTCACAAAGTTAAGATTCACGATAACACATGGGAAGCACTTCGATCGAAGCGCCCACAGAAGATCAGGTTAGCACGATACCTAAATCAACATCTACCGCCGCCGTTGTTTCGGCACCACCGCTCTTCCCCGTACACGATTGGGCAAACGCAGGAAACCCACAGGAACGACTACAGATCGTCTCTCTCTGTCTCTGTCTCTGCCTCTGTCTCTGTCTCTCTCTTCTTCTGCATTTAAAACTACATTGACCGAATGAAAAGTTTGAAACCGTCAGTCAGCGTGCCATTCGGCGTGAACGAACACACCCACACCCCTTGGACCTTGAATTTTACCCGTTGGCTGCCTTCTGTCAACCGGCAAGCGCATACTAATATTCAAGACACGCACACAATTATGGCCTTGGGAAACATCTTCTGGTTTCGGCCGCGCTGAGACTGGGACGGATATAATCCCATTGCTCAGTCGGTTAACGCGGTCGACGCCAAAAAAATGCAGACATCGGAAAGTGTCGCTTGATCAGCCAGTTCGCGCCGTTGATGCCAACAAACAAACACGCACATTAGTAAACTTCATCGACTTCATAAGTCGCGAGGGAAGGGATTGCTGTACCCTTCTCGCGATAAAAATATCTTAGGCAGGAACCGCAGGAGGGGGTCCAACCCCCCCCTCCTATGTGACCCCGGTTGGGTCGTCTAGCTGGGAGAAGTGGAGGACAAGGGCCAGAGGGGCAGAGGACAGAGTCCAATGATGGGAAAAACAAGAAAAAAAAAACGCGTGGTTGAGTTCATCTCGGTACTAGATTGGCGTCTTTTGATTGGTTGGCCGGTTAGCACGGTCGATGCCAATAACGAAGACACACAATATTTTCGCTTGATGAGCCGGCTAGCGTGGTCGACGCAAAAAAAAAAAAACACCAACAAGGCACGAATGCACCCGCACCTGGCTTCTGTGGCGGCCTTAGCCTCCGCGATCCGAGCAGTCTCTCTGGCGGCGGCCTCTGCCTTGGTCCGAGCGGCGGCGGCGGCGGTGGCCTCCCTCCTGCGTGCGGCGGCCTCTTTCCTGGCGACGGCCTCCTGCATCTCCCTGTCCTCCCGCTCAGCCGCCTCCTCCGCTCGCCTGAGATTGTATTGTTGGTTTGTACGTAGTCGTAGTGTTGGTCTACAGATGCTACAGATGCTACAGATGTTGAAGTTATTTCGTTGGCTTGTAGTGGATGCGATTTTCGGTCGTTTGTTGTAGTGGATGCGATTTTCGGTCGTTTAGGCATGAGCCGTCCGTTCCAATACCTACGCTACCCAGCACCTATCTGCACACCGATCCGAAAATGCACAACCTTCACTAGCCACAGGCTTTGCCAGATATGAAACCGAGTTCAAGCCCAACGGCCCAAAGGAGGAGACGTTGGTCCTGGGGTGGCGTGATCGATTCCCATCAAGTGGTGAATGTATCACGTCGCTCTCGAACAGGTACCGACATAGAACCACTAGGTCTAGTTTTCGCTCCCTAGTATGGCGACGAAAACAACACCTGGAAAGCCGTGCGTCAGGGAGGCAGACAGGGAGGGCAGGCTTTGGTCGACAGCACAGACTCTGTCGTCCTTCCTTTTCCCTGTCTCCTGACGCAGTTAAGAACCGGCATGACCTCTACCTGAGTGGTTCCTCTTGCCTACTCCATTCTTCCATCCCGATGTAGCAGTGAAACAAATGAGTTTCAAGGTACATTACGCACACAACGATAGCGACCCAGAGTCATTGAGACACGAATGTGAATGGAAGGATTTTGTTCGGCGGCACAACAATGGGGTCCTAGAATGTAGGAAAAAATCCCTGGGGCGTGTGACAACTCACCAAAGCGGAACGACAGCGGGGATCACACCGCAAAAAAAACATCGAGGGGGAGGGTAAGGTGAGCGTCCCACGCGAAGAGCAAAAAAAGATACAAGGAACAAAACGCCATAATACCGAATTGTGGTGTCGTGTACCTCGCCGCTTTCTTAGCCTTAGCCGCCTGCTTGCGCTCCTCGGCCGCCTGCAGGTCAGCCATCTGAGCCTCCAGGGTCCCCACGCGGACAGCTCCGGCGGCGGCAGCGGCGGCTTCCGTCTTCCCCGCGCTAGCCCCCCTCTTGAGGAGCTGCTGCGGCGGCGGCGGTTGTTCCGCCGCCTTGGCCGCAGCAGGCTTTTTTGCCACCGCCGCCGCCGCCGCCGCCGCCGCCGCTGTCTCCTGCCCCGCCGGCTTGAGGCCGGCGGCCTCGACCGCGGGGGCCTTCTTCGTCTCTACCGCCGCCGGCGAGGGTACCTTTTGTTCCCGGCCCGTTGTTGCCCGAGGGATGTTCGATGACGGCACGGCTGCTCTGGCAACACTACCAGCAGCACCACCAGCACTACCACCGCCAGCAGCACCGGCACTGGCAGCACCGGCACTGGCAGCACCGGCATTGGCAGCACCGGCATTGGCAGCAGCCGGGCCCGCCTTTTCGCGTCGATCCTCGCCTACCGCCGCCGCCGATGCCTGCGGGACCTGTGCGGCCTGACCCAGGAACACAACACACAGGGCAGCATGAGGAACACCGAAAGTGAGAGCGAACCACGCCCTGGAGAGGGAGCCCGCGAACTAGAAAAGCGGATACCATTCGTGTTCTTGGCTGCCCCGCCGAAAGAATGACGTCCTTTCATTGGCCAGTGGTCAGTCCGGCTAGCGTAGTCGATCCTCATTCGAAAATACACCGGCACAGTTGCAGACGCGCGGTCTGATCTTAACCGCTCTGAGACTGACGTCTTTTTCATTGATCACCCCGCTAACGCGGTCGACGCGAACAACAAAAGTTAACACACACCACACGCGTCGCCACCGAAGACTCAGGCCACGCCGCGAGGGGCCAGCGGACGTCGTTGGTCGCACTCCTGGGGCTATCTTGCACGGGCGCGCTGAACTTCGCAAGGCCGCCACCGCTCTTGCCCTCCTCGTGACGCGTTTGAATCTCCGACCGCGTTCTTAGGGCGCGGCCCATCCAAGAAGTGAACTGACCGTGGTTGAACCCGCCGGCTTTCCAGCTCTCCGCCATCGAGTCTCCGTCTTTGGCAAGCTGGGAAACTGCTCAGCAACAATCGCGTTCAAAATACATCCGGCGTCCACGCCAAAAAACAGGAAATAAAAAAAAAAAAAAGCAACTATGCATGAAACGCAAAAACGTCCAATGAAGAACCTCTCGTTGGGTATAATCCTCGCTAGCCATTCCCTCTTGAGCGGAAACATCCAATAGAGGGCACACAGCAGTGGTGTGGTGCGGAGTCGTGTGCACATGAGTAAATATTCGTTCGAGCTCTCATGTTCTTCGTGGTGTGGTGGTGCAACAACCCCCGCGCCAACATCGCAAGCGGCGGAATATCATAGCATACGGTAGCGTGTACACACGTAGCGGGCACAGTCCCGTCTACCGCACCGGTCGTGCTGGCGCTTGACGATGATTCAGCTCCTCCTTCCTCTCCACCACCCGCCGCGGCCGTGGCTCCTCTAGGCTGCGCCTGCGACTGCTGGACCTCTTGCAGCCTTTGCTGTTGCTCGAAAGGGTTTTCCCATGTCTTTCGACATTGCGGGGCGAGGGATCCGCATTATAGGAGCAGGGCATCGACGTACAAAGTCTTTCAAGGTGGGTCAAGAGAAACCACGGGGTACAATTGTAACCTGTGCCCTACAATACGGCACCATGGAGTTGGAAAAAAAAAATCCTTCCTTTGCGGCTTTCCTCCTGTGTGGCCCCGGCTAGTGCTTCCAGAAATGTATCAAAAGGTGTTCAAGCTGGCGTCAGAATAAAGGGGGCGATATTTTACAACGACACTGTAACATGTGCACAGTAGGCACGTCGACGTACTCCGGTGACGCCAGCAAGAGGCACCTGTGTTGTTGTTGTTGTTGTTGTTTCTCACATTAGCTCTAAAAAAGAAAGATTGGGAGCCCGTGGTCTCAAAACCCGGCATACACGACCCCACGAAGAAACAGAAAAAAATAGGGTACAAAAACCACTCGGAAGAGAAACAAAATGATAGAAAGAAAGACCAGCTACCGCACCAAACGAGAAAGAGCGTCGAGGAGACCGATCAAAATAAAATAAAAGGAGAACGGGGAACGCTTCCCACACCCGCCTACAACGCCGGAGGGTTCCGTGCCGGGTTCCCGCCGACCAGGCATCCCCCGCCCTGCACCACACCCCAGGGGGTGCAGCAAGACGGGGGGCGAAAAACAAACACATATATATTCCCACAAAAATAACAAAATAAAAAATCGAAGGACAACATACACCAGTACCAGGTACTACAGCAGTGCAGTATGCACCAGCGCATTAGTGTAGGGTGTGACCCTGGATGGTTGTAGTTGTACGAAAAAAATACACTGAAAAAGTGTAGTACTCTACATACGCTGAAAAGTGTAGTACACGTCTCACCACGAAAAATGGGGGGACTGTCGCCATAGACTAATAAATAGGACGAAAGCACACAACAAGACCTGCTCCCACGCAGGACACACCCAACAGCGAGTCAACGCCCCCCCGCCCCTCCAAAACCATCGGCCTTCAGCCACAGAGAGCAAGAATGTGCTCGAAACAAGGGCCGCCGCCGCTACCCCCAACAAAGGTACACGGCTACGCTACTTGTAGCTGACTCAGCGGGCAAGAACGTGCTCGTTACAAACGCCACCGCCGCCCCTCATCATCAACGACAACAACAACAACAGCAACAACAACGCACACGGCTGAGCTACCTGCCTGACTCACCGCCTCGTTCTTCTGAGCGTTGTGCCAGTACGGCCGATTGTCGTGGTCCGGTGAGGTGTACATCGTCCACGCCTCGACAGTGGACGCGGCGTGCTCGATCGCGACCACCTGTTCCATCGTCTCCCGGCACTGCTTCAGGGTTTGCCGCACGTCTTCCGAGCCGCCGTGGTATAAATCCACCACGTCTTCGTGGGGATTGTTGGATCCATCGTTCGATAAGGGGGGGGGGGGCACAATTCCGTTAAAAAAAGAAAGGAATAGGGCGCGCTGGTCCTTTGGTGTCCTCATCGACCCTCGAGCCGATTTGGTACTATTTATCTTCTGATGCACCCTGGTTGAGCTGATTTGCCGAGCTCACGCTTACCCTCCCCCCATCTTCCTCTCCTGTCCCGTTCATCCCCCCGCGCCCGTGACCGTGCCACCTACCCCGCCGCCGCCCCCACAAAAACGACAGGCACCTCAAAGGGGTCGGTCCTCTTCCAAACCTGGTGCACCAAAAGATACAGGAATGAACACGCCTCTGGCAAACTCGACGGTTTCATATCGACGCTTTCAACAAAGAGTGTAACAGTCTCCATCGGCTACGCCTTCACAACCTTACTCTAAAAAACACAAAGAGCGCACCTGACTCTACCCATCCAGAGAAAAGGGCCTTAACCGTCTCGACGCTCGTCACGCCCCTAAGCGTCGAGCGTCGCACCCCAGCAAGGTCCCCCTCCTCCTCCTCCTCCTCCTCCCACATGGCCACCACTTGCCGCACGTGCTCGACGGGAAGCCGCCGACCCCCTTGTCCGCCACCCAGCGCTTTCCGCGCTTGTTCGAGTATGCGCAAGACGCTCGCGCCCAGAAGCCAAGACTCGTCGGCCGACTCCCCTACCGCCGCGCCCCGCACGCCCTCGCCATGACCAGCGGACCCGACAGGCACAATCTCCTCTACCGCCCTTACACTACCAATAGCGCTCTCCGCAGCTGCGGCCGCCGCAGGCTTGGTGGGCTGGGGGATTGCAGCAGGAGGAGGCTTGGTCTGCAAGGCCTCGGCGGCGTGCGGCACCAGCGTCGACGTGTTCGCGCGGCCCATGTCCGCCCCCGCAGCAGCAGAGGCACCACTTCCAGCGGTACGACAACCAGCAGCACCAGCAGCACCAGCTCCCACACCGGCGGCAGCAGGGCCGACACCAGCAGCGCCAGCAGCGACACTGCCACCACCACCGACACCGCAACCGGCAGCTGCACCAGCAGCGGTTGCGCCAGCAGCGGCAGCACTGACACCGGCAGCAAAAACAGCACTGCCGGCTCTGACGCCCGAGGCACCGGAAGCGACACCAGCAGCAGCAGCACCAGCAGCGCCGATACCCGCCCCACCAACGCCAGTACCAGCACCACCAGCGACGGCAGCGCAACTACCACCAGCGGACGCGCCACGGCCGGCGGCGACGGACATCCAGCGGTGGGCGACCTCCGCGCGCAAGGCGATCGAGCGGGGAGGATGATGCACCTCCGAAGGACCCGCCGATGCCCCGGCCACAGCGGCGACGGACTCCTCCCTCCTCCTGCTGTTCTTTCCCAGGCAGAACTTGGACCACTTCTCGATGAAACCCGTCGTCGACGCCATGTGCTACTCATTTTCGGGTAGGGGGGGGGGGGGGGGGG